ATGCCTACCCTACCCCAGCCTTTTTGCTAGTGAAGACTCCTACTTTCACCGTTCTTTCAGAACGAAAATAAACAACCAAGAGGACTTTTTTTGGAATCAACGTAGGTCACAGTAAAACCTAGAGTACGCGGGGACAAACATTGATATTAAGTTTCCTTAGCTGGCACGTTTCCAACGACGGCCATTTGTTGTAACAGGCTAACGGTGAGAAAGCAGCAATTGCATTAGTAACACTGAAGCGAGTTTTAGGATTTAGAAAGCAAAGTTTTGTCAAATTTCATCGTTTTTCTATTTTTTTTTCAACTAAATCTTGGCTGGTAAAGTGTGTCGTCCTCGTGAGCGTCTAAGTCGGTCGAGAGGGATGAGAAACTTACAAAGAACAACAAGAGAGCTACAGATACTAATCCAAGTTGCTTATGTGGCAGATGAAAGGCGAGGAATATAGTATTTTATTTTTGACGCGAAAATATCTAATTTAACACTGTCCACCCAATCACCGAGGGAGCAGTGTAGTATAGCGGCCTTGCATTCCTCGTGCATACAGTCGCATAAGAATGAGCACAGTTTTTGAATTGGAATAAAGTGCAGTACAGTAGCACAGTAACAGTTCTGTAAACTTTCCTGTTAGGAGGGTATTTTGAGTGGATCAGTACATCACTTAGCGGGGTGCTTTGGCTAGACTGCGTTAAGCAGTTAACAATGTTTTGAAGGAATTTTTTAAAATGCCCCCAATTTTAGGTATCAGTGCCAGACCACAACATCGGGAGCTCCTATCCCATTGGTCGAACATTGTAATGGTTTCCCAATAAATGAGCATTTGATTTAAAGAAATTATACATACATACATACATACATACATACATACATACATATATTTTATTTAAGCTCGAAATTCAGTGTAGCTGTAGAGCTAATATCTTCGAGAAAAAAAAAAGCTAAAATGAAATAAAAATATGCTATCTTACAATTTCAATATTATTTATAAACTATATACAACTAAAAGCTAAGAGAGAAAACTAAGAGGGAAACATAACTTGTAGACCTACTGTGGAAAAGCTTCATATCTGAGGATCTCCTGCTTGAATTCTAGAAAATTTAATGTTCTGTAAGTGTCTGGAAAAGAGTTCCATATTTTGCTAGCTAAGTATGAAAAAGAGTGCAGACCGTATGTCGTTGTTTTTGGGCTGGGAAGGGACATGATATGATTTATGAATTATAACTTCGTCTGAAAAAGAAACGAGATGAAATAATTGGCCGCAAATTGTTAAAGGTATGGGCGAAGCCCCGAGAAACCCTTGCATGCCATGAATCACGAACTTGATTTCACTGTGCACTTCACCCCACAATTCTGATGTCTCAGTCAAATCGCTTATCACACATGAGAGGCCCTGGGGACGAGAGACGGTATTTTCCCGGCATATTTTCGCGTTTGGTGCCGGCACTAAAGCGGACAAAGATGTTGACGAAGAAATCGTTTTGACGAGATTTTTGACTGATTATCGCGCTTTAAGTTGAAAAGGTTATTTTTTTTCTTTTGACCAAGTGCGGCAGAGGGAACTGGAAAATAGAGATAACTATTGTTTCTAATCTTTTTCAAATTTCAAATGGCCAGGTTTCCGCCCAATCAAGCAATAACCAAGATAGTCAGAAAACCCACCGGAAATCTCCGAATTACCCCTCGATTATTGATTTTTGCGCCTACTATCCAATTTATGGTTTTGGTTCTGGCTGCAAAAAACAAGTTGGCTCAGAAGAAGTTCTTTCATAGGTTTACGGGGGAATTTCATGTCTGTTAAGTATACTTTATTTAGACCGAAGTACAAAGGGAGGTGCAGTCATATTTATTTTATATCCTGGATAACACGGATTCAATCTGTTTCTTATGTTTTCGCTCACTTAAGGAGACTCCTTGGGTTCTTGACCGCGCGAGATCTGGGTACAGACTGCACGAGCTATAAAAGTGTCAACATGTAAAACAAACATGGTGGCTCGATACGATCACACTAGCGACTAAATGCAGGAATGGCTCCGACCTGTGATTGGATGATAAAAACAGTAAAAGTTAATAAGTTATATCTTAACTCAATGCTCGTGAGTATTGTTTACCCGTGTCTCTCGAAGCGGAACAATGAAACATCAATGTGGGTGAAAACACCGATGTGTCAAACAAGAAATGGTTACTTACATAGCAGGGGAAGGCAGCCATTCTTGTTCAGCGAGGTCGTTCAGCGATATTCCGGCGATGAAAAAGTCATCCGCTGACAAGCTCCGCTGACAAAGCTCATTTAGGCAGTTTAGGTGGACGACCAGAGACTGGAACCATTCCTGTATTTCACCGCTGCTAGGAATAGCTCCAACTCATGCGTACATTAATTTTTTTTTTCGTTTTGGCTAAATAATTTATACACTGAGATAAAAACTGAAACAGCGTTTTAAAAAGAGTTTTATTAAGTTCTTCTTAAGTTGAACTCTACAGCACTTGAAAATGTAGCCCTCTCTTATTGCTTCAAGGCATGTAGTTTCTAAGGTTTAAAATAATGCAGCAATTGCATGTCACGTTTGGAAAATCACGTAATGTTGCGTAACCAATGTTTTAATTTACAATATGCTCTGCTGGAGAAATATGGCTTGGCCGCAATCGAGGTAGTTTTTTTGCGGAAAACTGATTTCCTGGGTAACTGTTCACATGAAGGACAAATCTATTTTTGCACAACACCTAAAGGAAGAAACTCACGGATTACTTTAATTTTGCTTGGTAATTTCTAACGACTCCACTAGACTTACAAAAGGTAAAAACAAAAGAAACAAACAAACAAAAAAAAAACGGCTTACCAGTCAAACCAGTGGCAGTAACTCTCATACTGAATCATGTCGAAGTACCTTGACTGTTTGCAGTGATGGCACAACCAATCTTCGGACAGTTTTTCGGCTATAACAAGAGTTAAATGATTTCATAAAACTTGTTCTAAAATTAATAAAGGCTGTTCAGCACATGACGCTGTTTTGGAAAGAATATATCTCGTCTGCTATTGTATCACATTACTGATTTAGACAAGATATTCATATCACTTAAATTTAGGAAAAAATGAGTAGAACATAAACCGCGTTTTTGCGTTCGACGTTAGGAGAACGCTTCGTAATCTTTGGGGATCCTGTGGTCGATGGGATACCTGTGCATGCCAGGCGTGAAGATTCGAGATTTTTGGTTACTTGGACGGGCGATGTTCAAAATCTGCGCCATTTTGAATAATTATTAAGCGCGCGCACGAATTTTAAGCCCAATAGCCGGCCAAAGAAATTGCGGGCTCACCTGGTGGACATGCGCACACAACTATTTTTATGCGCAAGCAACTATACCTCGTGCGAGTGCGCACGCACCTATACCTCGTGCGAGTGCAAGCTGCTCGTGCGTCCGTGTCGCCTCCGTGGATATCTTTGGATTATTCGGTAAGTTCATTTATTTTTCTCAAACTTCATGCGATGTTTCTTAAAAAGTTCATCGCTTCAACTTGTCAAAGCCTTACCAGGAAACTTTTTAGTACTCCAAGAGCATGTAGAAAGCCCGATGTCGGCGTTGTCCGAACTACAACAAACCGAAGACCTTCGCTGCTCTCCTGCTTTGAATTGATGTCCTCGAATTTGCCGAACAACAAAGCAAATCAACCGATAACTCTGACACAAAGTTGTCTCAAAGCAAATCTACCAAGCCATTGTGCTTTGACCCATAGCGGTCACAAATACAAACCAAACAAACCGAGTCATTGTACTCGGTGGCCATTGCGCCAAATGACCCGTTGTGGTCACAAAGCAAATAAACCGAGTCATTCTGCTCGATGGCCATTGCGCCAAATGAAAAGTGACAAAAGTCAAATGGTTACCGGGCTGATAAGTGGTGATTGTAGTTCACAAGATCATGATAAGGCTTTGACAAGTTATTCTTCTGAGAAAATTGAAAATCATAGTGTAACTATTTCTGAAAATGTTGAAGTTCGTAAGAAAAGAGTGAATTGTCAGAGGAAAAGGGACAGGGAACCATCTCGCGTTCCTGTTAAAATAATTCTAAAGGCACTAAGTAATACGAAGTCTAGGAATAGAATCAAGTCTTTTGTAAGACAACATCTTCCAGACAGTTCTTTTATCACTAATTTATGTAGAAATTACAACACCTGGAAATTCTGGTATACCAATGATCATTATTATAGTAAATTTGTTTTTTACATGAACATACAGAAAAGAAAATTTACAACAACAGATAACTATTCTACATGTAACTGTAGACAAACACATATCCATGTGGCAGATTTAATGAATTCTGGTGGAAAAAGCTTTCCTCAAACTCGTAATGATAATTCAAAATTAAATGGAGGTATGTCTCCTGAGAATGCTGTTAGTCATGATTTACCATGGGATTGTTTAACTGAAAGGCTTCGTCTCATAGGACTTATACCACATGATGTAGGTGGATTTGGAGATTGTTTCTTTAAATCAGTTTCACACCAACTGTATAGGACTGCTGACTTGCATCTTGAAATTCGTATGGCTGGAATTGGCCATTTACAGAGTTACCCAGAATTGTATATTGAAAGCATTTCTAATGATCACTGGAATAACTATATTCAACAAATGTCAAAACAAGGCACATGGTGTGATAACATCATAATGCAAGCTGTGGCCAATGCATACAACTGTGTCATATCACACAGTCTAATATAAATTCACCTGAAAGTACAATCTTAACTCCTGTTGCTGATCAGGATGGACGAAAGACAATATTTATTGGATATATTAACGAGTTGCATTATGTTTCAACATTGACTGACAAAAACAGTAGATATAAAAACAAACTCACATGCATAAAGAGAAAATTATCAGAAACCAATGAAAACAGACATGGTAGACTTCTTAAGCACAGAAATTACATGAAAAGAGTCAAATATACAGAAACAGCTAATGAAAGGGCAAGCAGACTTGAAGATAAGAGAGGCACTTATAGAAAAACAATGTCTGAAGAAACTGCTGAAAAGCGAAAAGAGAGACTTAAAAATAAGAGAGACACTTATAGAAAAAGAGTGTCTGAAGAAACTGTTGAAAAGCAAAAAGAGAGACTAAAAAGTTACAAAGACTCTTATAGAAAAAGAACGTCTGAAGAAACTGTTGAAAAGCGAAAAGAGAGACTTGCAAATAGGAGAGCCAGTTATAAAAGGTCTCAAACAATTTCTGCAGGACAAAAAGAGAGCTCTGCTGGTCCAGTTCACGAACAAAAACATGCACAAAATAACATGAACGATTTTCATAAGTCCAATCAGTATTCAGTTTGCCAATGCACTGTCTGTTTTGAAGCATGGCCATTGAAATCCAGTCCAAGGAAGGTTGATCACTACCAGTGTCAGAGGTGCATACGAGATAAACAACAACCAAAAAAGTTTTCTAAGGAAAATGACATGGTGCCATCATTAGTACCTTTACAACTGCAGGGGTTAACCCAAGTAGAAGAAATGCTTATTGCACGTGCACTTCCTGTTATGCGAGTTTACATAAAACCTGGTGGACAAAGGGGCTATTCAGGCCACTGTATCAATTTGCCTCAGGATATAGCTGAACTAGCACATTCTCTACCTAGATACCCAAAAGATCTATCTGTTATTGTTGTTAAGATGAAAGGTAAAGAGAACAGTTTTAAAGATGTGACAGTGCGAAGGCAAAATGTAGCTGATGCACTACAATGGCTTGTTAATAATAACTCACACTACAAGGACATAACCATCAATCAAAATTCTTTAAATTCTTTACCAGAACATGGTGTTCCACATGGTCTTCTCTCGGTTGAAACAGAGAATATAGATTTGGATGCCACATGTGAACCTGACTTAGGTCCTCAAAATGAAGATGACAATGTTTATAATGAGGGTACTGAAATGAGTAGTTTTCTGCCTATTCCAGAGTGTCAGCAGCAAGAAATAGAAGCTGTGCGCCAACAATTGTCTAATGATTCTAATCACTTGCCCTGGCCAACAGTTGGCAGTGAACCATTAAACGAGTATGTAACTCCCTATTTAGCAACAATGGCTTTCCCAACATTATTTCCAGATGGTAAGGGTGATCCTACTAACCCATCATTACGCCGAGATATACCACTCGGAGAAAGAGTAAAGCACCTTTTAAAGTTTGGAGAAAACAAGAATGACAAATGGGTATATCGCTTTGCTACTCACCCCAGATTTGGTTACTGGGCATTGAATATGATACAAAGAAAACGTATTCTGCAACAGACAGGCATGTTCCTAAAACAAAACCCAGGAGAAGCTCATTTGACTGCTGAGGAGCTGCGGCAAATGGCAACTAGCAATAACACAAGTATGTTTATATCTAAGATATCACGCTATCTTAGTAACATTACTGGTTCTAATGCTTATTGGCACAAAGCTAAAGAAGATTTAAAAGCAATAATAGCCCATGCTGGAGCTCCAACATTCTTTTTCACATTCTCCTCTGCTGATATGCATTGGCCTGAACTTCATGCAATTTTTGGCAACTCAGTCAGTAATAATTCAACTGACAACAAACGGCAGAATGTGATTAACAATCCTCATATTACAGACTGGTTCTTTACACAGCGTTTAGAAAGTTTTATTAAATACTGGTTATACAATTCACTAGATGCTGAGTGGCACTGGTACAGATTTGAATATCAAGCTAGAGGTAGTATACATTGTCATGGTGTAGCAAAGCTGAAAAATGATCCAGGTTTATGTAAACTCTCAGAAACAGCTCTAAAAGGCTATTTGGCTGAAATGTCCACTAATACAGCTGAGCAAGTCAATATACTAGAACTCAATCAACAGATAGTGGATGGGAAAAAGGCTTCCCAGGTAGTTTGTCAGTATGTAGATTGGTTATTGTCTACATATAATCCAGATCCACCAGATAATGGCACATGGGTGAAGCCCTCTATTCATCCTTGTCAAAAGCGTCACAAGGACCTTGTAAGTTTACAAGACTCTGAACAAGATTATGTTGATTTGTTGAATACTGTACAAAGGCACACTCGCTGTAGTACAAACTATTGTCTTAGAAAGAAACAAAACGAAACAGAACTGAAATGTAGATTTAAGTTTCCATTTGAACCTTGTGTTAATACAAAACTAGAGTTTGAGCCCATTCATACAAAAGATCGAAGCACTCAATACAAAGCAGAGATCATAACAAAGAGGAATGATAGCAGACTCAATAATCACCAACGACTTCAGCTTCAAGGCTGGAGGGCAAACTGTGATATTCAAGTGATCATTGATTATCATGCATGTGTTGAATACCTTGCAAAATATGCTTCAAAAGGTGAACCAAAGTCACCTGTAATGAAACTTGCATTTAATTCTATTGTCCGTAATTGCAACAACAATAGCAACCCTACAAAATTGATAAAAAAAGTGATAATGAAGTCACTTGGCCAACGTGACTTCTCTGCACAAGAGACTATGCATCATCTCATGTCACTGAAACTTGTCAGCTCATCATTTAATGTGGTACCTATTAGTCTAAATGGTTCACGTAGAATCAAAACTATAACAAATGATGGAGATACTGTAACCAATGACTCATTGCTTGATACTTACGCTAAAAGGGAAAAATATATTCAAACCATCCCAGATATAATGGCTCTTAATTTCATTCATTTTGCAACAAAATACAAACTTGTCAACAACAAACTAACAGTTCAGCCTCATAACATGATTCCCAGAGTTTTTCCAGTATTTTCTTCCAATTCAAAAGGTCCAAATTTTGGACTTTATTGCAAATATCAGTTACTTAAGCGCAAACCTTGGCATACTACACAAGACAATGCCTGGGATTGTCAGGAAGGCACTGATGAAATATACATCACAAAATGGAAGGAATTTCTACAAACACCAT